CCCCTCGGACTCGGGAGGCGGCGGCAGCACGCCGTCAGCCGCAGGGTCACCCGAGGATGGGCTGGCATCCCTCAGCATTCCTGCAGCCGCAGCACGGGCGACGGCAGCAGCACCGACGGCTTCCTCCCCACCTCCTCCTCGACCCCGACCTCGACCTCCTCCTCCAGCTCCTCGATCTCCTCCTCCTCCTCCAGCTCCAGCGCCTCCAGCAGCAGCAGCAGCAGCAGCAGCAGCAGCAGCAGCAGCAGCAGCAGCAGCAGCAGCAGCAGCAGCCGCCCCCGAGGATGGGCTGGCATCCCCCAGAGCACACCCTTGGACGTGATCCGCGACAGGCCCGGCTACACCTAGGAGCGCGGGCGGCGGCGGCAGCGCGGCGCCCTCCAGCTCCCGGATGCGCTCCTCGATGTGCATCCGCAGGACGGCCAATTCAGGCCCTGGCGTGAACGGCGGGAGAGGCGCGCCCCTGGCCACCTCAACCTCCGCTTGGTCATCGGCCACAGGAGTTGGGCAGTCCGCCAAGGCTGCCTCATCAGGCGCAGCCACCGCCCTGGCCTCGCCTCCTCCGCCGCCTGCTGGTCCCCCGCCTCCCGCGCCACTTCCTCCGCCCCCTGCTGCGCCTCCTCCGCCACCTCCGCCTCCTCCTCCTCCTCCTCCTCCTCCTCCTCCTCCCCTCCTCCTCCTCCTCCTCCTCCTCTGGCTGGCCCGGCGCTGGCCGCGGCGGTTGTGGCGGCTGGCTCAACGGCGGCTCTGGCAGCCTCGGCGGGCCCCGGGGGCCCCCGGTGCGTGCCGGCTCGCACGGAGGCGCCGGCTGCGTGGACAATCGTCCGCGCAGGGAGGCCCCGCAACGGCCGCCTGCTGTCCCGGCCGCGTGGCCGATGCGCCGCCGTTGCCTCCTGCCGCTCCTCTGGGGGTGGCGGGTGCGCGGCCCATCGCCGACACGAAATCGCTGTCCCCTGCGACCTCATCCGCCTCGTGTCCTGCCTCCCTCAGCGCATCCCCAGCCCCGGCCCCAGCACCGGGACCTCGACCTTCACCGCCACCGCCGCCTCCTCCAGCAGCACCCGCTTCCCCGCCAGCGCCCATTGCAGCCCCCTCGCCGGCCGCGCGGGCAGCAAGCGGGCCGCACAGGGTGTCGAAGGCTGCCTCGATGGAGGGCCGGGCCCCGATGATGGTCTGGAGCCGCGCCCAATCTGGCGGGCCCGGGTGGGGGTGGACCCCCTCCTCCGTGAGGTCCCGCACCCTGCCGCCGATGGAGGCGGCGCACGCCCGGCTGGCCGGCTCACTGGCGGGGCCCGCGGTGGGCCACACGCCAATGAACCAGCCAAGAGCGGACAGCAGCCGCCGAGACGCCGAACCGCCTGGCGGCGTCTTCCACCGCCGCCGGGCCCCCGGTCTCGACGTAGTCGGCGACCTCGGCCAGGTGGGCGGCCCTGGCTCGCAGCGGCGACGGTGGGCTCTGGAGCGCCCAAGCCCGACCCCCGAATGATCCGAGGGGCGCGCAGTCGCAGCAGCAGCAGCAGGCGACCAGGAGGTTCGAGATGATGAGGAGGCTCGCGACGAAGGCGGCGACGACGACGGCCTTCCACCGGGTGAGGCAGAGGGCCTCCCCGTCGCTCCGGACGGACTCATCCATCCAGGAGGACGCCGCCTCGGCCGCAGCAGAGGCCGCCGCTGCTCCGGCAGCGCCCGCCTCCGCTGCCGCTTCACGCACACGCGGGTCCTGGGCGGCCTGGAGGGCCCACCAGGCGGCCCAGGGGATCCTGCCGCCGGCAGCGCCCGCCCCAGCGAGCGCGACCAGCGCATGCCCTCGCGCGCCCCAGCGCGCCAGGGCCATCCGGCGCGCCCTGGGGGAGTGATGGAAGAGGGCGGGGGAGGAAAGTGAACAGGTGAGGAGAACACGAGAACACTGGTGAGCTGGGCAGCTCACCGGTGCGCAAGCACCTTGGCGCAAGCACCTTGAGCCAAAGTGGTTGATGATGATGATGATGATGATGATGATGATGATGATGATGATGATGATGATGATGATGATGATGATGATGGTGATGGTGATGGTGATGGTGATGATGATGATGATGATGATGATGATGATGATGATGATAATGATGATGACGATGACGATGACGATGATGATGATGACGACGATGACGATGACGATGACGATGACGATGACGATGACGATGACGATGACGATGCTGCTGCTGCTGATGATGATGATGATGATGACGATGATGACGATGACGATGACGATGACGATGACGATGACGATGACGATGACGATGACGATGATGATCACATGGCTGGCGACCAACCGTTCCGTGCTTCCGCGGTCCTCTGATGCCGAGCCGCCGCCCGGTGGCGGCGCCGTCGCCGCGCGGGGCGGGCACGTTCAGGAGCGCGGCCCGGTCTCGACTGGAAGCGGAGGCAATGGTGGCGCTCTGGAGGGCGCGAAGTCCTTCGCGCTCTCGCGCCTCGGCTCCGAATCCTCCTCGTCCTCCTCTTCTCGACCAGGAGGCGGCGCGAGGGCGCGAAGGTGCTCGCGCTCTCGCGCTCCGCGCAGCGCGAGAGCGCGAGGCCGGGAGCCCTTGCAGAGGCGTGGCGTGGCGCAGGCCTCCCTCCGCGGGTCGCCCGTGGGGCCCGAGAGGTGTTGAGGTGGAGCCCCGCCCCGCCACGTGGGCCGCCCAGCCCAGCTCGGGAGCGCATGCTGCTCCGCGGCACGAGACGCTCGTGTCGTTCCCCTCGACTGGGCGTAAGAGTGACTTGTCGCCGGAGTGACCTCTGGTGCGGGCACAGATGGGCCCCCAGATGGCCGAAAGAGAAGCGGTAGCAGCGGCTTGCGCGCTTGTGATTTGGGCCCCCCGCGGTCCCAAAAAGTCGCGCCCCAAAGGTCACGCTTACCCAGGGTCACTCTTGCGTGTAGCCGATCTCCGCCAGCCGCCTCCTGGCGTCGCGGGCCCCCTCTTGATCCCCCGCGTTTGTTGGGAGGCCTGGAGGTTGACACCAACACCGATACCGGCGGTGTGCCTCCACCGAGGGGAGGTGCTCTCAGTCTCGGTGAGGGTGGCAGTGTTTTGGCTTCCTGGGTGGCCGACGTATTACCACCAACACCGAGTCCTGTGATCAGCTTCCCCCGGTTGAGGCATGCCCGCTTGTTGGTGTTGGTGCTCATTTCCAGGCCTCCAAGTTGCTTCCTGTTGGGATGTTCGGGGGGAGCTCGGCACCGCGCTGGGGGGGCTGCAGCGCGAGGCGGGGATGCATCCACGGCCACCGCCTGGGAGATCTTCATCTTCGTGGAGTGGACGACCGCCGGTAGCAGCAGAATGGGCCCACGAGGTTACAAACAAGCTCGAACAAACATACCAGGGCCAACCCTCTCACTGTTTCCAGCCCTGGCTGGTCTCCCACCAGTTTGTTCCAGCCCTGGCCACCTCGTCCCAACCGTTCCGGGCTCGTTTCGACCCCTGCTATTTCTAGGCCTGGCCGCTTTGATTTTCATGGGGGTTCGACCTTCCACTTTGTCCAGCTTCCTTGTACAAGGGTTCTGCCGCGTGAGCTGCTGCGGTGCCAGCACGGACGTTTTTCGACCGCGCAGGTCCTTGGTCGACAGCTCCGATGGCGAGGGCTCTGGACTCCCGCACCAGCTGCCCCAGCACTCGCTGTCGACTAATCTGCCATCGGCTCGTCGCAGCAGCAGTAGCCCCGTCCGCTGCAGTTGTCTGAGCTGCCGCTACTGGCGCAGCAGCAGAAGCAGCTCCACCAAGAGCAGTTGGTCCAGTTGACGGTGCTGCCGCAACTTCAGCAGCAGTCGCCCGAGTTGCTGTGCTCAGTTCGTCCATAGCTTCAGGCATCACCGCTGGCAGGAGCTGCCTGCTGCGCAGGCAGCCTTTCGGTCATTCGTCAGCGGGGTCACGTGTCGCACCCGCGGCTCAAAGAGAGGGAGAGCAGGGCAGAGAGCAGAAAGCAAAGAGCAGAGAGAGACAGATAACATACATAAAGTGAAAGAAGAGAGAGGGATAAAGAAAGAGAGAGAGAGAGAGAGACACACACACACACACACGCACACACGCACTCACACACGCACACCGCGAGTCAGACAGAGAGAGAGAGAGGTAGAAAGAGAAAGGAATACCGACAGGGGAATGTTCACAATAGCATCGCCAACTGTGTGGAGATGAAAACGCGGTGACGACACTCGCGTTGGCAGAGGGTGGCGCAGGTGACGAATGCGCAGGGCGGAGGGACGAGGTGGGTGGGTGGTGGTCACTGCATAAGGGAAACAAGCCCCGAGCAGAACAACACGCACCACGACCACGACGCCGACGACAACAACGACGACGACGACGGAGGCGAGGCGCGCAGACGATCCGCACCGAAGGGCCGCTCAAGAGCTCGTAGGGCGAGGAGGAGACGGGGCGGGCAGGGCAGCTCAGGAATCTCGGAGCGACGGGCCGGAAGTGCCCAGAGCGAGCCAGGACCCGGAGGGCGACGATCGAGGGACGCTCGGCGGCGGGGGAGGGGAGGCGTGCAGTGAGCGAGAGTGGGCTCGAGAACTGCAGGGAAGCAATCAGCCCTGCATAGGGCCCCAGGCTAGGGGAACGAACAATGATACCCACATATAGGGGCACGCGCAATGGTGTATATATATATATATATATAGATATAGATATAGATGTGTATATATATATATATATATATATGTGTGTGAATACACATAAAAGCTCGGAGGTCCGCGCGGATTTCTCGGATGCTGGACCCCCCTGGCGGCGCCTCCCGCGACGCCCCTGGCGCGCTCCGCGCGCCAAGGAGAGGGGTCCAGCGCCGATCCGAGAAATCCGCGCGGACCGCCGAGTTGTTGTGTTTATGTCATTGCTCGTTCCCCTACAGGCGGCCCCAAAGTTGCCGCCCCTGGCCCAAAACAGTGCCGGGCAGGTGCGCGTCCCTTTGTCCCCTGTTTGACGACGAGCGCCCGAGAGGGGGGGGCTGCGGGCGGCAACCCGCAGGCCTCGTCCCGAGGGGATCCGCCTCCCCTTTCGGCGACTTCCCCGACGACATGATGCCGAAGCCCGTCAAGGCGCCCCCTATTCAGATGGGTGCTAGCTCCTGCCAGCCGAAAGGGGGGGGGGTAGAGAAAAAGGCCCCCTCGCTGCCACGTCTGGACGCGGCTCGAAAAACTGATCAGTCTAGACTCGGGGAGGGGTCTGGGGGTAGTAGTTGTAGTTGTAGTTGTAGTCGTAGTGGTAGTAGTGGTCGCGCAGTAGTAGTAGTAGTAGTAGTAGTAGTAGTAGTAGTAGTAGTAGTAGTAGTAGTAGTTAGTAGTAGTAGTAGTAGTAGTTAGTAGTAGTAGTTAGTAGTAGTAGTTAGTAGTAGTAGTAGTAGTAGTAGTAGTAGTAGTAGTAGTAGTAGTAGTAGTAGTAGTAGTAGTGGTAGTAGTAGTAGTAGTAGTAGTAGTGATAGAAGCGATAGTAGTAGTGATAGAAGCGATGGTAGCAGTAATAGTAGGAGTAGTTGTCGTCGTGTTAGTAGTAGTAGTAGTCGTGATAATGATAGTAGTCGTCGTCGTCGTCGTCGTCGTCGTCGTCGTCGTCATCGTCGTCTTCGTGGTCGTGGTCGTGGTCGTCGTCGTCGTCTTCGTCTTCGTCGTCGTCGTCGATTTTGTGCGAGTGCTCCCTGTCTCTCGGCCTACCTGTAGCTCAGACCTCCCGGCCGCCTATCCAGCATATGGAAGCAAAGATGCGGAGATGTCTTGCTGTCGTCGGCTTCTGGGGTCCCTCGCTGGGCCCAAGGACCGACCACAAACGACGCAGGATGAACAGTCGGTTTCAAGGGAAAAGGCTGGGATTTGCCGGGACCCCGCAGTGAAACATGCAGACATGTGGTGAGCCGCGGGCACGAGGGATCGAGCATCCAGGCTCCTGGACGCTTTCGGATTGTTTGCAACATTGAAGAAGGAATGCAATCTGCTTCCGAAGGTCCTCGCAGCCTTCTCAAGCGTTTCGGGAGGGCCTAGGACCAGGATATATTCTCGATCGTTCCAGAGCGTTCTTGACCGTTTTCAGAGAAGGACCTAGAATGAACATCGCAGGTCTTGAGGTGTATGGTTATTGAGATTCTTCGCGTTCTCCGACATCCTGGCACACACACACACGCGCTTTGGGGGGCCGTCAAACATCGACTCAGGATAGTAGCAGTGTCGAGTGTCCAGTGTCCAGCAGCAGGACCCGTTTGCTTGAAGATTTGTTTTCACATGTTAAACAGAACCCCCACCCTGACACGTCGATTAGTGAATTGTCCGTTTTCGGTTCTCGAGAGGGCGCCGCGGCCGTCATTTTCAAGACTTACGCCTACCAGGTGTAAGCCCGAGGTCGTTTTCATTAAACCACGCTTTACTAAAGTGGGTTCTGTCCATCCCGGATAATATCGGGGAACAAACACTGACATAAACATAAAGATTCGGAAGACCGCGCGGATTTCGCGGATCGGCGCTCGACCCCCCTTTATGGCGCGCGGAGCGCGCCAGGGGCGGCGCTGGAGGCGCCGCCAGGGGACCCCAGCGCCGATCCAAGAAATCCGCGAGGACTTCCGAGTAGGTATGTTTATGTCATTATTCGTTCCCATATAGTAAGTGAACTCCGATACCATTAACAGGTCGCGATTCCGAAGTTGTAATTGCATGTTTTCCTATCGACGATCGCATCCCATGCCAACGCCAAATTCCGCAGAAGGACTCGAGCATTTGGTTGCGTGCAAGACCCTCAGCCAGGATCCAGGGGAAGCCGAACACATGCAGCTGCATGTACCTTTTGTTGTTGCCAGGCTTCGACGTGGTTCTCGCATTGAGGTGTTCGCCCAGCTCCTTTTCCCGCCCCCTCCCCACTTCACACCAGGACATCGTCTCCCTCCTTCCCCCCGTCCACGCTCGCCCCCTTTTCCACCCCCAGTCCCCCCTCCCCCCTGACCCCTGACTCGCTACCACGCTACCACATCCTCCTCCTCCATCCAAATCCCCTCCAGCCCGCTGCTCATACCTTCTCGCTTCAATCCCCCCCTTTACTCTCCCTCCCTCGTCCCCCCTTTTCCCATCACTCCCCCACCCCGTCTGAACCGTATCCTCTCAAATCCTCTCCGCCCCGTTCCTCCACCCCACCTGGTCCTCTCCCCTGCCGCACTTCATCCTCCCGTTCCTCCCGTTCCTCCCCCACCACATCCTTCTCTCCTCTCTTTCCTCCCCCCCCCCGATGCCCGCGCGAGCGCAAGGGGGGGGGGACTCGGCAGCGAGAGGCGACGGCGGGTGACGACGGCGAACGACCGAAAACGAACCGACCACGCGCATGCGATTGGACGAGGAGCCCCTGGCAACGACGACGGCGAACGACGGGACGAACGACCCCAGACACCCGACGCCCTGATCCCTCCCATGCGAGGAGCCCCTGGAGACGACGGCGAACGACGGGACGAACGACCCCAGACACCCGACTCCTCGATCCCTCCCGTGCGAGGAGCCCCTGGAGACGACGGCGAACGACGGGACGAACGACCCCAGACACCCGACGCCTCGATCCCTCCCGTGCGAGGAGCCCCTGGAGACGACGACGGCGAACGACGGGACGAACGACCCCAGACACCCGACGCCCTGATCCCTCCCGTGCGAGGAAACCCTGGAGACGACGACGGCGAACGACGGGACGAACGACCCCAGACACCCGACGCCTCGATCCCTCCCGTGCGAGGGGCCCCTGTTGGGCCCGACGCCTTGCCCGTGGGCGCCGCCTCTGCACCTCGCGAGCCGTCTCGGGAGATTGCTGCCTCGGGGTGCCCCGCGGGGGGCCCCAGGGGCCGACCACCACGAGCACTGTGCCTCACAGGTGGAGGCCTCCCCTCTTCCTCCATCTCCTCCTCCTCCTCCTCCTCCTCCTCTCCCTCCCCCTCCTCCTCCTCCTCCTCCTCCTCCACTTCCTCCTCCTCCTCCTCCCCTCATCCTCCTCCTCCTCCTCCTCTCCCTCCCCAGCTCCTCCCCTCCTCCTCCTCCTCCTCCTCCTCCTCCTTCCTCCTCCTACCTCCTCCGTCCTGCCTCCTCCTCATCATCCCCCCCTCCTCCTCCCCATCCTCCCCCTCCTCCTCCTCACTCCCCTCCTCTCTCCTCCTCCTCCTCCTCCTACTCCTCCTCATCCCACTCCCTCCTCCCCCTCCCTCCCACTCCTCCTCTCTCTGCCTCCTCCTCCTCCTCCCTCTCCTCCGTCCTCCTCCTCCTCCTCGTCCTCCTTCTGCTTCCTTTTTTTTCCCGTGTTGGTCTAATTCTTTATTGTTTTTTTTTAATCCCTGCTTGTCCTTTTTCTCCCTCTTTCTTTTTTTCGCTATTTTTTTATCTTTTTCTGCTCCCTCGTCCTCCTTCTGCTCCCTCGTCCT